CAGAGCTCCCTCATTCAACGTTACGTGTACATTTAGTTTCACTCCCCATTTACCATCCCCAATCCTAACCCAGTCTCCTCTCCTCCCCGCCCAGTAACCCTGTCCTCCATGCCCCTCATAGTTATGCACTCCTGTGTGTCCTGCATTTCCTCCTGCAAATGTTGCCCTTCTGGTGCCCCATTGTAGATTGCTCCAAGGGATGCATTTTCATAGAGTATGTGGGTGCGTCACCCTGGGTTGAGTAGTCTGCATGTACTTGCATCTTGTTTACTATTGGGCTGAAAGCCAGCCCCTGGGAGTGAGTTTTATTCCAGGCCCAGAATGTATCCCAGGGCCATAGTATTGGAGGTCTCAACAGACCCCTTCCGACCAGTAATTCTGGTCATTATTGGACCAGTTTCTGGATTTTGTTCCACGTTTTTCCTCCCACTCTATCCAGGATCTCCAGATTTGACCCTTTCCTGAGTGGTTGGATTGGTATCAGGGCACCAGCTAGTTCTTCTGGTCTCGAGGGCCGTCGTGTCCTAGGCTGATTGCTTTCAAATGCCCTTGTTTTTTTTCCTTCACTTCCCATGATAGGAGATCATTAGCTGCATCTTCGATGGCCACTTGAAAGCTTTTAAGGCCCCAGTCGCTACTCACCAATGTAGGATGAGGAGCAAGACTTTTATGTATTTTGTTGTGCTAGTTGAGCCTGGTGTCCCCCAGTCCTGTGGTCCTGAGGCCACGTTTTCTGATCTCCTGCTTCCTTCCTGTGGTCTGTGGTCCCTGCGCTCCACACACAGACTGTGGTGACTGTGTCCATGCCACTGCTCCTCCCTTCTGCTTGGCTGCAGCTCGTGGGGTCTGGCTTTAAATGCTCTTCGATGGAAAGATGGAATGAGTTTGTTGAGATCATGCACTCTTGCTGTGGGAGGGAACTCTGGGGGCCATTGACTCCATCCCCTCCTTTTACGGATGGGAAACTAGGCTCAGAGTGGAAGTGACTTGCCCAAAGGCAAGCCTCAGGTTTGTGGAAATTGAGACCAGCCCCTGAGTTTCTGGACAGTGTTTCTATCTGCTGTGTGTAGGGTCACTTTGAGTCAGAGCCCACTTGATGGGACCTAACAACAGCAACAAAACCTGGGTCTCTGACGTCTAGACAAAGGCTCTGTCCTCAGCATACTTCCCAAGCCGGTTCTTTGTACAGAACACCTCACACCTTCTTCTGCATATGACGGTCCGACTATCTGCAGAGGCCTGTGTGTTTAATAGATTTTTTTAAAAGTAGGTGAGTGGGGCCCGCATGCCTGCAATCAGGTTCCCTCTCACCCCTCTGGTGGCCCTGCTGGCTTGGTGGGAGTAGCCCCAGCCTTCTTGGCCAGGTCGGGGCTGTTTGAGCTCCGTGAGAGGTTTTCCAGTAGCCACGGGAGCCACATTGCACAGAGGAGAAGCACACGTGTCACACACACTCTTCCCAGACCAGCGGGAGCAACAGGTGGCCCAGGAGTTCCTGGTTTGTGGGGATGGGAATGGGACGCTCCTGTGATTTTCTCCACAGATCAAACAAGGGAACTGTGGGCAGGAGAATCCATTGACTCCCCAGGGGTCCGCATGTCTCACTGGTGGTCTGAATTTGAGCTCAGAGCTGCCTGCCTCACACCGGGTGTAGTATGCTCCCTGTTGGTGTGGCTGTATGTTCCAGAAGCTCACAGCTTCGTTTCTGACTCCACACCCTCCACTCCGGCTTCTGCCTTTGTCTTTTTGCTGCTCGAGAAGGGCCTTCTCTGTGCGTTTTCTGAGAGTTGTGTGTGTGGGCACCTGTTGGGTGGATCCGCGTGTGACTCATACCGTGCTCTGTCAGGAAGGTCCCTCTTTGGGCCTTGGTTACCCGTGCCACACCCAGCTTATCCCCCTCTTAACTGGAAGGCTCCAGTTAGTCATTAACGCAAATTTACTCAGCACCCACTCCATACCCCACTGTGTTCCAGGCTCTAGCGGTGGAGAGGTGAACAGAACAGTAAAACCAGTTCCCATCATGTGGATTTGGCCTTACGGCAACCCCTCTGCAGCCTGTCTGTGTCAGACTTGGGACTGTGCTCTGAAGGTCATCAGGGGTCTTTCAGAAGTAGATTACCAGGCCTTCCGAGGTGCTTCTGGGGGGATTCAAACCACCAGCCTTTTGGTTAGTGGATGAGCGCTTACCATTTGCACCACCGAGGCACTCCTCAGAGGTAAGGAAGAGACAGTCCCCACTGCTAGTGGTTGTCAGGTGCTGTGGAGCTGGTTCCAGCTCATAGAGTGACTGTACCACGAAAGGAAACATCTCCCGTCCTGTAGATAAATAACGGTAAAAGAAAGGATATGACGTCATTTCATCATACAGAAAATAACAAAGCTGGGCTCGGAAATGGAGCATGAGCAGGAAAGGGAGGTCAGGATGGCCTCTTTGAGGAGGTGACAGTTGGCCTGAGTTCTGACTGCGTGATGGTTCTAGTCATGTTAAAATCAGAGTTGGGGTGTGGAGGAGGGTGGAGCAGGCCCTGGTGTGGTATGAGGTGGTGGGGAAAGGAGCGAGTGATAGAAGTGCCAGAGGGTGCAGTCATAAACACCAGCTCCCCCCACGAGCCTAATTAAGACTCAGTTTACCAAGTGTGTCACTGGCTTGATGTCATATTGTGTCTAAACGCACATGTCACAGACTTACTGAGTGAGTTCATGTGCGAGTTCTTCCCACTCTGAGGAAGCTTTCTGATGGCCTTCTTCCCTTCATCCATCCCACAGGCCTGCTTTGCCTCTCTGGTGAGTCAGGATTACGTCAATGGCACCGATCAGGAAGAAATTCGCACCGGTAAGAAGTCACTGTGTTTATATGGCGTTCTTGCCGTCAGCAGGATTCCAAATCCAGATTTACACTGGATGTATTTTAGTCCCACTTGGAGCCAGAGAGTTTTCCTGGGTATAAGACACGATACATTTCTCGTATGTGTTCAGTTTATTATTTGATCAGTGAAAACCTGAGGAGTATGTGGTTTTTCATATTGGTTCTAGGACAAAGAAGACTAACAGTGTGTAGTACTCCTAAAAAAGGCAAGTTGTATTATGATTTGTGTAATCTCTGGGCCTTTGGTTGACTAATTGTTGTAGGTTAAGTTGTGTGTCAACTTGGCTGGGCCTGGTTGAGTGGCTGGGCGGCTGGTGGTAGTTACTTCCCATGGTGAGACTGGCAGTCACGTCCATGGTGGGACCTACCACAAGCAGCTGAGTAGCTGCTTTAGGGATGAGGTCTGCTTCCTGTATATAAGCAGCAGCTTTGGGAGTGGTCTCTGGCCTTTTGGCACACTTCAACCCTGCACGTAGCCTTGTTGTTCAGCAGCCTGCTGTGCTCTGCCGATCTTGGGACTTTGACTGGACTTGCATCAATAGCCTGCCATGTTGTTTAGTAACATTAGGACTGTGCCTTTGTACTTGTCTACCTTGGGTTTGTCAGCCTCAGCAGTTGCCTGAGTGAAGGAAGCCTCCAGCTTCAGTGGGCCGGGAGCAGGAAGCAGAGCTGAAGCCCAAGGCTGAGGGGCTTTCACCCAGCCCCTAGAGGCTGGCACTTTGAACTTGGACTCAAAGCCTCCAAACTGTAACAGAATAGACTCTGTTAGAGCCCTCCATCCCATTTATGTATATTGCTGTTAGAGCAGCACTAGGTAACCGAAACACTTACTGTGGTCAGGTGAAAGTTTACAGAGCAAATTAGTTTCCATTCCACAATTTATACATCTTTTGTTTTGTGACATTAGCTGCAGCCCCTTCGATGTGACAGCACCCTTCCTGCTTCCTGCCTGGATTCCCCGTTTCCATTCACACTTCTTTCCGGCCCCTTCCTGCGTTCTGAGCACTGTTTTTGGGCAAATGCTGCCCTTTTGGTCTCTGACGGTTGATTGCTCTGAGGACTAAGTTTCTCCCGGGTGTTCTTGTTCACTTTATAGGCCCATCCGTTGTTTGGATGGAAGCTGTTCCCCAGGGTTGGGTTCACTTTCAGGTTTGAGGGGTGACCAAGGGCCACAGCGTCGGGGCTTCCCTCCGTCTGTGTCAGACCAGGGAGTCTGGCCTTTCTTGGGGTTTTGCGTTTTGTTTCACGTCTTTCTCCCACTTTGTCCAGGACCTCAGTTGTCGGATTCTTTGAACAGCAGTTCCAGAGAACAACCCGTTGTGCTCCATCCTCATGCCCTCCCTGCTCACGTCCTGTCCCCAGGGGAACCAGTGCTGCCAGTTTCTTTGTCCCACATTTTAAGTGTTCTGTTGTAACTGGAAATGGTGATGCTCATTGATGGATCTGTGGATTCCCGTTCTCCAGAAGAGCTCATGGCTCTCCTGTTGCTTTCAGGCCTCTTGCTCACCTGATAAAAGCACACACTATCCCCTGTTTAATCTAGGCCAGGACAGTGTTTGTCACGGGCGGCCATGATTAGTGCTGGAGCCAGGAGTCAGATCCCAGAATGCACCAATGAGAATAGGCTACTGTTTCGATACGCTGACCCTCCATTTCTGAGGGACATACATGTGTCTAGTGTTTTTCTTCAATTAACATTTTGGTCTTTTTTTTCCCCCTAAGGTGTTGATCAATGTATCCAGAAGTTTCTGGATATTGCAAGACAGACAGAATGTTTTTTCCTACAAAAAAGATTACAGTTATCTGTCCAGAAACCAGACCAAGTTATCAAAGAGGTACGCACCTGTTCTTTTCCTCTGAACCTTTGGGACGCACACATGGTGTCAGGATTCCACTTAACTTTGAATGAGATGCACCCTTTTCCTGCTCGTCCAGAAGGGTTTTCTAGATCGGGTGTCCGATGTTGGTAGTTGTCAGTGTTCTGACAACATGGATGAGCACTGGGGCAGAGAGTGGGGTGGAGAGCAGAGCGCTTCAACAGCTCAGCCCTTACGTGTTCCATTCAGTGGGGTTTTCTGGAAGGTTTTTCTGAAAGAAAAGGTTCTACTTGAAAAAGGTTGACAAGCCATTCATGTGACAGTAGGCTCACTTTGGACTAAGATCTGTGTGTCCCAGTTGTCACACTTCTTGCCTTACACACAAGAAGGGCTCCGTTAAATTTTGTTCAGCATGCTGGGACCCAACACTGTGGCAGTCAGGAGTGGCTTGATCTGAGCTCTTGTAAACCAGGGGCGTTTGGAAGTGTGCTGGTCGTCGGGATGACGAATGAGGAGGCTTTCATGCATTTAGTGGATTGGGTCAGGGCATCCGGCCTCCCTGCATTATGGATGAAGGGAGAGTTATCCTGCCCGGGGGCAGCAGTGATTGCTGCATTAGATATTGCAGCAAAAGGCTAGATGGAAAGGAGTTGTGTACAGCCGTTTTGCAGTAACTCCTCCCACCAGCCGACCGGTTCATCAGGAAGATTGTTTTCGTTCATGGTACCCTCTGTCAAGAAGGTGAACAGTGAGAGCATGATATTACGGTACATTCTTTTTTTTGTTTTTGCAATGTTCCCTCCCACCTCTAGTAACCAACCAAGAAAGTTTCCTTCCGTATATAAACTTTTCCTTGACCTTTTATAGTAATAAACAGTATATGTTCTTCTGTGATTGACTTATTTCACTCAGCATAATGTCCTCCAAGTTCATCCACGTTATGTGGTGTTTTACAGATTCTGCATTCTTCTTCAGTGCTGCATAGTACTCCATTGTGTGTATGTATGTACCATAGTTTGGTTATCCACCCTTCTGTTGATGGGCACCTAGGGTGTTTCCATCGATATCGAACAATAGATTCTGTAAGATCATTTCCTGATTTGAATAATCTAGGAGCAAGGCAGATGTGTTCTAGGCTTAATCTTAATGAAGAATTCATAGACAGCTCTGGAAAATGAGAATTCAACATAACTTGCATGGATGGGGCAGTGGTTCTGGATTTTTTTTTTAACAGTTTAATATGTATTTCGTATTCTATGTGTTTCAGACTTCGCAGAAGCCTCTGGGCAGAGGTGCTTGATGGCCAGGGGCTGGGATGGGGGAGACTGGTTTCTGCACTAGTTTTTCAGTTTTGTAGCTTGTGTTGTATGTGTGTGTGTGTGAGGGGGAGTTAAAAACTCAGTGTCAGGCTCACATCTTTCTTTGAGGCACTACTTTGGACCGTTAAAATCTAGCCCTGGGCGGAGTCCAAGCTTCGTTGGTTTAATTGATTTTCTCTGTGGTGAATTTACACCTTGGTGCTCTTGTCCAACTGGGCCTGTCCTCCTTTTCCGTGCGTTTGCTCTGACTTGCTCCATCGCCTTCTTTGTAGGATGTCTCAGAACTAAGGAACGAGCTGCAGCGGAAGGATGCCCTGGTCCAGAAGCACCTGACCAAGCTCCGGCACTGGCAGCAGGTGCTGGATGACATCAACGCGCAGCACAAAAAGCCGACCGACCTCCCCCAGGGCTCCTTGGCGTACCTGGAACAGGCGTCAGCCACCATCCCCGCGCCGCTGAAGCCGACCTGAACACGGTGCCCAGCGCCCGTCAGCGGAAAGACTGCCTCCTGCCTGGGTCCGCCTGAGAACGGCTGTGCAAAGTACCCTTCTCGTGGACTTGGCCTTGGGAACAAAGGGCTCTCTATCCGAGAATGAGCTGTTTTTCGTTTTGTGCTCCCACCCAGGTTTTTCACCCTAGTTTTATAAGCTGTTAATTTTTCAGGTACTTTTTTAGACTGTCTGTGGCTTTGCTATACCAGGTAGATATGTGTTGTCTTCAAGTTCAGAGTTAGTGCAGTGTGATGCCAATTGCCGATTCCTTTTTAAGTTTTTTTTTGGCTTTTTAATTTACTTTAGTATGACTTTTAATTTCTTCATGTGTATTTTTAGTTAGATTGATTTGTGTGATCTGAGGAAAGAACATTGTTCTAGTCTGTGTATCAGAAAATGAGGATTTTGGCTCGAGGCCTTGTATGATAATGATTCTACAGGAGGCATGTAGAAATGACGTACAGTTGCGGCGTTCTTGACTTTGAACTACCTCCCGAAAAGGAATCTAATGCAGCAATATCTGTAATCCTGCAGAGCTCTCAGAGTGAAGATAGTTTGTAAATGTGTAGACGGATCCTAATGTCCTATGTTAGTGTAGTGGTATTACCACTTTGGTTAGGAGTAGTTGAGTCTTTGCTGTTAAATTACTTTCTTTGGGTGGAAGGGGGTGAGGCGGGGGGAAATGCTAAATTGAGAATGAATCGGTGTGAGGGCTGGGCAGACCCTGCTCCACGTGGCATCAGGTGCCCTAGGGTGTAGGGGAAAGCTTGTTGTGACACAGTTTAGCCTAGTTTTCAGTTTGCTTTTTCTGGAGCAGACATAGTTTCCATCAGGCAAGCCTCTGGTACCTGGATGGTCTTGATTCCACCGGACAGAGGCCCCAGGGTGGGTGGGAAGTAGAGGAACCCTGGCTACCAAACCTCCACGAAAGCCTGTCCAGCCTAGCCTTTGGGAACATAGCTTATCCTCTAGTTCCTTTGTAGGCCCCTCGGAGTCTCCATTGAATTGCTGCTGAGAAGTACAGACCAGCCTTGTTTGTGGTGCTGGTTGGATGAGGTTTTCGTTTCTGTTTCATGCGCTCACTCATCAGATTACCTCCCTCTGCCCACCACAGAGCCTCCATTGTCTTTGAATGGGCTGCTTTCTGTGACTGGTGTCTTGGTTTCTTTTGGTTTCCTTAGTCTGAAGGTCTGTCCCACACACATCCAAGTCCGCTCCTCCTGCTGTCCGGCCAAACGCCTCCTGGTCCAGGAAGCCTTCGAACCCCTTTCCTGTGCATTGCCAGGGCACAGTCTGTTGATGTGGGTCCTGCTTGTGCTGGGTTTGCCCTTGTGACTCGGCGGTTTGTCTCTCTCTGCCCTTTGCTGCATGCTAAGCCCATGAGAAGCAGGCGTCATCCCCCTCTCGGTGTGTGTATAGAAATAGATAGACGTTTTATTTTCTTTGTTCCCAGTCTGTCGCGCTGACTCCTGCTCACAGTGACCCTGCCTGTCCCAGGAGAGCTGTGCTGCACAGGGTTTCCCGTGGCTCATTTTTCTGGGTAGAGCCCTAAGCCTGTCTTCCCAGGTGCTTCTAGGGGACCCAGACCTCCGACCTGTCAGTCAGCAGTCAAAAAGCATGATCCCTTTGTACCACCCAGGGACGCCTTTGAACATGCATTAAAAATACCCAAACCCATTGCTGTCAAGTTGCTTCCAAGTGACAGGAACTTTCCCCATAGGGTTTCTGCAGTGAATTGCTTGATGTGGCCCTTCTAGCCATTGTCCTCCATTCTGTGGTGTTTCGTAAATCCCATTATCCATGCCTGTTTGGGGTGGTGTGGTAGTTAAGGTCAGGTATCAACTTGGCTGGGCAGCTGGTAGTGGTCATTCCCTACAATGACTGGCAATCGACTCTGTGATGGGATTTAGGTTAATTCTG